ATCCATGACCGGAGCTGGAGGATAAACTCGGTGCAGGAGAGGGAGCAGGGTTAGGTGTGTAGCGTGAAAGGCTCAGGGTAATCTTAGCGGGGGTCGGAGCACGGGTTGGCTTGGGTCTCAATGTTGGAGTAGTCGAGCAGGATCCATTTAGACTTGGGCTGGAACTGGCCCACGTCCCCCTGGCACTTGCTCCTCCTTCCTCTGACCTGGCTCCAATGCTTGCCGTTCGTGCCCTTGGGAAGCCATGGCGTGATGTAGGTGATGTGCTCGTGCTGCTGCCTCCGGTTCCCGGGGTCTCAGTCCGTGCCCGCCTGGAGAAGCCCACCTGACTCGGAGGCAGATTTGAGTGATGACGCCGACTTGGGACACTGATGGGATTTGAAGCTGTACCGCCACCACACGATGTCCCCACAGACTGAGACTTACTGCGCTGTCTAAATTCCTCACTTAAGGCCTTCATGGCCTCCAGCAGGGTCTCATGCATGTTTTGCGCTACCACTGAGTCGTCTACTTGCATCCAGAACTCTCCGGGGCCAGTGATTGCTGAGCGGCCCACTTCAATGAAGAAAAAATTCTCCGAGTGGCCACACCTGCGAACGTTCATCAGCTGCAACACCACAGCAGCCACATCAGAGTTGAGTTTGACAAAGTTGACTGTCTTATCAGTTAGACATAGCCGGTAGATGCCCACTAAGTTCCTGGCATGGCCGAGGCCTTTAGGCCAAACCTTGACCTGCCAAACTTCCTTAAAGGTCGGGATAGGAGACGGAGAACTGCACTCTCCACTGCTGCCATTATCTTCAGGAGTTTTGCCTAAGAAAACAACAACAACAAAAAAAGTCAAGATTCCACACATCATACAAGAATACATTAAAAGACTTAAGGTTAACTCTACACAGAAAATATCAGAATTCCTACACATTCTCTATTGTATACATTTTCAGCCTTTTTTTATTTCTGTCAAATTTTAGTCCAATCTTGATATCAACATGTCTGCAAATTTACTGTCAATATAATTTAATCATTTATTTATTTTATTTTATGTGTGTGTGTGTGTGTGGGGGGGGGGGGGGGTGCAATTATCTCTATGCTTCAAATTTCACTAAAGACATTTCCAAACTATACACAAAAGATGAACAGCAGTAAACTGTTGTATTGGAAAAGTTCATCTCAGATTAGTTTATAATCTTTAAACCAAGGTTATGTCATCAGAACAAAATGATGCTCATGTATACAACTATGTTCCCATTTATAAAAAAAAAATGGGGGAAAAAACTGCACATATCTGGGGTGGGTTGTGACTAAAAAGTTGCAATCTGATTTTGCAACAGGTTAATAATCTGAAGGTATATATCTGTATACACTAAACTTGTAAACCGCTTGAAGTAATTTAATGTTATTTACTGTTTTATCCAAGGACACATCGACAAAAGTATATAAACTCATCATTAGATGGAAACCAATTGAGGCTGATGAAACCTGTAGGGCTGAGTGTACATATGGGTTTTTAAATAGTAACTCAAAAACCAAGAAACTGACAACTAAACCCTTCAACTCAAGGTTTGGTGCAGTGTGGATGAAATTACTGTATATCCTTATTTTATCATGAAAAATACTCTGCAGTTTTTGAGCAGTTTTTAAAATACGAGATTTTTTATTGTTAAAAAAAAAATCCAACAGAGAATGGAGTTTGGCAATGCTGATGTGTTTCCATACTTTTTAGTACTTTAAAATGCCAATAATAAAACCAATTTTAATCATTTTCAGAAATGCACAGAACCCATTATTGTGTACCCAATATCTCGTGGACCATTAAACAGATCTGAATAAATATCCTGATGCATGCTCAATAATCCATCCATCCAGCCATCCATTATCTTTTACCCGCTTCTTCCATTTTGGGTCATGGGGGTTGCTGGAGCCCATGTCTAGCAATCACTGTGTGAGGGGCGGGGTACACCCTGGACAGATCTCCAGTCCATCACAGGGACACATAGAGACAAACGAGACAAACAACCATTCACTCTCTCACTCGCACCTAGGGACAATTTAGAGTTACCAATCAGCCTAACATGCATGTTTTTGGTCTGTGAGAGGAAACAGGAGTAGCAGGGGAAAGCCCACGCATGCACGGAGCGAACTCCACCCAGAAAGGCACCCGGACTGGGGTTTGAACCAGCAACCTTCTCGCTGAGAGGCAGCAGCTCTACCAGTTGCACCACCGTGCTGCGCTCAATAATCCAGGTAGAAAAATCTAACAAAGTTAAGTCAGGTCCTCTGGACGGATGCAAAAATAAAATAAATAAATAAATTGTTGAAACGTTTCATCTTTAATTCAAAAGACTTTGTCAGTCTGAGGAGCTGTAATAAGCTCAATCTTATAAATAGCACCTTCTCATTGTTGATCAACCAGTTTGTTATTGACAAAACTAGCTGTTCAAATGATAAAGTAGGACCATCAGCCTAATGACCGATCATTAGTACCCTGATGGCTGCTTGCTTTTCATTAAACTGGGGTGGAGGCCTCCGTGTTTAACTGTCCCCCTCTTACAATGATGTTACAGTAGTCCCTCGCTACTTAACAGTTCGAATTTCATGAACTCACTATATTGCGAATTGTCAATGCACATTAACATTTATTATTTGCTTTATTGTACAGGACACTATTGTCAACGTTAATATTACTCACATGATTGGGACAGTCCCGAATACAGTACTGTACAGTAAAAAATTAACGAAAAAATACAATACTTCAGACAGGCGCTGCCATTTTGTGGTTTTCTCTCAATAAGCCTATAGTAAACAGTATTCCCGCTCATAACAACCACATTTCCCAGAAGCCAACAGAGCCCCGCCCATGAGCCCCGTTTCCTTCTGCTGAAATAGAGGGAAAGTTTTGAGCTGATTGGAAAATGTTTGGCACTTATTGCAGTCATTTTGGCGCCCAGCGGATGCAGAGAGCTGCACGGAACCCACCAAACCGGACCAGAACCAGACTTATCGGTGAATCTTGAGAGCTGGTAGACGGCCCACGGGACTTCAGAGCGGGGACATGTGATGCCGAAGGTCCGGCGCCCCATCTGGAGCTAACCCGGACTTTGGCAGCATGTACTGCTTGGAAGTCCTTGTGGTCTGGCTACCAGACCTCCAGACCCATCAGTGACTCTTGAGAGCTCCTAGCCGGCCCACGAGGACTTCCAAGCGGGAAGCATGCCGCCATAGGTCTGGGGCCGTTTCCGGAGCCCATCGGGAATGTTTTCATCCAGACTTGGACTCAATCGACCACCTCCGGTCAATGCCGACCAATCAAAGGTCCCCCATCCTCCCAAATGAGATTTGGCACACAAGGACTGCACTGAATTGGACCAGAACCAGACTCAGGTGAACCTGAGAACTCCTAGCTGGCCCACGAGGACTTCCGAGCGGGGATGCGTGCTGCCAAAGGTTCAGCACTCCATCTGGAGCCTACCGGGACTTTTTAAATCTCTTTCAACCGGCTGTCAAGGACCTCCGAGTGAGGACGTGCTGGTAATTAAAATTTATCAGCTACATATAAGTATGTTGTTAAAATTAGTAGGTTTAAGAGTTTAGAAGATTGATTGCGGGCTTTGTCGCTGGAGGGTGCATCTGCAGAAACAGAACCGAGTAGGATGGAACAGCGTCGGACGAGAACCAGGAGCTGTTGCTGTGTTTTGCATAGCAGGTTAGTAAAATTTTGAAGCTACATATACAGTACTGTGCAGTACATATACGTATGTTGTTAAAATGACGTAGGTTTAAGAGTTTAGAACATTGCAAGAGTGTGGGAAGGGTTTCTAAAGTCTTAAAATATATATAAATACTAAAATAAATATAACATTGTTACTTGGCAAAGTTTCACTTATTGTTTGTGTGTGTGTGTGTGTGTGTGTGGGGGGGGGGGGCTTGGAACCTTAACACCCGCAATAAACGAGGGATTACTGTATTGCTAGTATCACTCAGCCCCCTCTGAATAGCAAGCGGCCATCATCAGACTACAGTAGACGCTCTCTACTTCGCGGTTCGTTTATAGCGGACTCACTTTATCACGGTTTTTCAAAATAAGATAGGACATGACACACAATTGGCTGATTGATGAATGAGCTGCACGAACAGCATGGATTTTTTAATTTAAAATAAATCATTTTAAATTATTTAGTACCTGCTGCACTTTTGTGCAGCCCACACTGCAGGAAAAACATCATCCTGCAGCTCCTCCTCCCTCCTTTGTGATCTCCATTCTGCTGCAGAGAAGTTGGCACGGCCGAGAACGCAAAGTGCAACTGTGGCAAAGAGGAGGCAGGGAGCTGAAATCATGACATTGTGCTTTTTGTTAGAGCATTTAGAGTTTAGAATCATTGTTTAGAGTATTGCAAGAGTGTGGGAAAGGTTTAAAACACTATATATATATATATATATATATATATATATATATATATATATATAT